ATCAATCCTTATCTATTGAAAAATACTTATATTTTTGTTTTTCTTTATTTAAATTGTTATATTTTCTTTTTTTAATAATTTATTACTATTATTTAAATTAAATCAGATCGGATCACATTTGATGTCCGATATTCTCATCGGGTTCAAATTCAAATCATTATTTGTGAAATTCAATCGGATCATCGGGTCGGATTGGATTCGAGTATACCCTGATTCTAATTTGTTCCGGTCCAACAAAATCTATTTCATTGATATTATCTTGTCTTGGGGGATGTATCATCTTGACTTGGGGTCAACTCCAATTTTCCTAGAAAATGCTGTCTGAATCTCGAGTATTAGAGAGATGTCCCCTCTTGACTTGGGTTCATCTCAACTACGATTGGCAAGGACGCGGGTTTGGGGCGGGGTACCCCCTCCCCGTCCCCGGTGGCGGGGTGGGGTATCCACTTCCTATTGAGGATGGGGAATTCCTGAATTTTCCCTACCCCAATGCAACCATCTAAAAATGCATCTTATTGATATGAAAATTTGGGATATTTTAGGAATGGGGTTATGACAATTTGGGAGTATTATAAAAATAAAATTATGGCATCCTAATTAAGGTTTTAAAAATTTGGGGATAACTTAGAAGTATTTTAGAAATTAATACAACACTCATGAATATTTTACTATTTTGCCATTGGATTTGGGGCGGGTTCAGGGAATTATATGCAAATCTTGTCCCCGCCTCGTCCCCACTTCACGGCAAGAATATTTTTTCCATCTCCACCCCATCCCTGTTTAAGATTGGGGAAAACCCGTCCCATTTGGGGCAGGATAAGCCAGAGCCCAGTTTTATAGGCAAAATTGTCATCCCTAATCTCAGTTCATATTCCAAAATTGAAACACTTGGGCAGTTCAACATATCCACTATGGGGTGTCCCCAAGTTTACTTGGAGGCATCTCACCAAGGCAAAAAACTCTTGAAAGCTTAGACTAAGGCAACATGGGTCATCTCCAACCACGGATGGAGACACCTCTATGCACCAACATTTAGAAGAGAAAGCTTCTTTTCCTGTCTCTGTGCAAGACATTTCAAATTAACGTAGATGTTCTTTTACATAAAATATACAACAAAATCTATTTCAAACTTTGCCAATTCCGGTGATACAAGCAACATTCAAGGAAAATTCTCAAGTAGACTATTTGATTGAAGAAATTTTAATCCACTTGAATTTCTCAATAGCGGTAAAGACTTGATTTCACAAAATTAACACCAACTTCTCAAGATGTATTTGTTATCATCAAAACACATATCAATATGATCATAAAGTCAACAAACTCATGAACTACAAATGAAACTTTGGGGAAGGACAACTGAGCATAGGTTACGACATGAAACAAATGTTTTAGAAACCAATTTGGGTTTACTCTAGGGAGATCAACCATGGAAACCATCTTTCTAATAAGAAGATTTATAGAAAATTTTAGAGAGAAGAAAGGCCTCCATATGGGTTTCATTGATGTTGAGAAAACATATGATAGACTCTCTGAAGAGGTAATATGGAAAAGAAAGGAATTCCAAATAGGTGAATAGACTTAATTAAGAATATGTATGATCATACAAAACCAATGTTTAGAATATCTATAGAACTAGCCCTATAGGAGATAAACCGGTAGATTGAGATGGTTTGGTACATAATGTGCATAATAGACCATCTACAACAACCATTATGAAAAAGTGATTTGTTACAAGACGAAGGGACTAAAATGAACTAGGGGCAGACGAAAAAATGGCTTGGGTGAAAGTAATAGGAAATTATTAATGCCTATAATCTAATGATGGATATGCCACTCAACAGAATGGAATGACAAAATAGGATTGGTGTAGCTGATCTCATATGATCAGGATAAAGTTTAGATGATGATGATGAATGTTGAAATGTCTTTTTAACTTTTTGCAAATATTTGTCATTCAATTTGCATTATCTCATAAAAATAATTTTCAACCTCAAAATAGTATTGAAACAATACAAATAAAAAAATAAAAAATTATTAATTAATAAATGAAATGAGTAAAATTAAAAAAAGTAATTAATGACTATAAAAATATTAAAATAATTAATAATTTACACAAATAAAAATTAAAATAATGTTTAAAAATTAATGAAATAATAAAAAAATACTAGTTAATAAAAATAATTAATAAATAATAAATAGAACAAGTAAAATTAATAAAAAATAATTAATGTTTAATAAAAATATTAAAATAATTAATAATTAGTAATTAGTAAAAATAATTTATAATAATAATAACTATTATTATAATAATAATAATTATTATTATTATTATTATTGTTGTTGTTGTTGTTGTTGTTGTTGTTGTTGTTGTTGTTGTTATTATTATTATTATTATTATTATTATTATTATTATTATTATTATTATTATTATTATTACTCACTAAACCGCCACTGCAAGTTGTAGCGGTTGTGGTGGGAAGACAGGAGAGAGAGAGAGAGAACTGCCACTGGTGAGAGTTGCAGCAGTGGTGGTTTTTTATTTTTCTTCTCTTTTTTCAAGTAATAGTGATATCTTTCATTATTTTTTAGGTTTTGAGGTCTTTTAATATAAATAAAATAGTTTTTAATTGAATAAAAAAGGAAAAAAAATCTTTTTTCCAAATTTTTTGCCGGGCCCAAGGTCGGTCCTGAGCATATTCTGTTAATGTAGAGGCAAAGACCAGCCTAGCCCGTGAACAGGTTTGTTTCCATGAATAATGAAAAGTAATTCTTATATCTCACCCTGTATTTTTTATATATTTTTTAATTTGTATTATAATATTTTAATTATTACATCATAGATTAGCCCACTTTACTAGATAATTTAATTGCAGAACCTACCATCTCCATACAATATTTATAGCCATTTGAGTCTTATATTTACATAATTGAAACATCTTACGATTTATTTATTTATTTATTTGAATTTCCTTAGTATATTAATGCATATTTTAATCATTTCATCATATCCATGTGTTTCCAAACATATCGTAAAATTGCCTTTTTTTTTGCTTTTTTGATACTCTGCGATACCATTGCCTTTTTTGCTTTTTATACTCTTTGCGATACCATTACTTTGAACCTTGCTAGGAAACTGCCACTCTGAAATTTTTGATAGAGTGAAGGGAAGACAAACCCAGTAACCAACAGGTAATATGCGATGCCTCTTGACTTTGGATTCACAAAAAAATGGGGCTGCAGATGGTATCTGTTTATCCAAATTTGATCCGATTTTTTTCTATATAATTTTTTTTTGAAGCCTAAGGCTATATTTGGTTTGAAGAAAAAAGTTGGGAAAGGAAAGGAAATGTAGAGATTTGTATAGGTTTCATTTCTTTTCCCTTCCTTTCCCTACTTTTTCCTTCAAACCAAACATAACGTAAAGGCACATTCATTCAACTTTCAACAAGATTACATCTCAAAATGAAGTATCGATCTTACAAATGAAAGAGATGATACCCATGTTTTGGAAACATGATACTGATTAGCATAGGTAACAAGATTGTGAGCTAATAGATTACAACTTCGAGATGCAAAGAGCACTAAAGCTTGAGAAAAACAAGACAACAAAGATCTGCACTCCATAATTATATGGTATAATCTCCAGGGAGGGTTTATATGGGAACTGAGCAGATCCACAATAGTCTTGGCATCACTCTCAATATGAAAAGCTTGTAAACACAAACTTCGAGCCATCAATAAACCTTCCATAATGGCAAGAGCTTCCGTTTCTTCCGTAGAAGCGGATTGGACTGGATGAGCCCGACCAAATAGGAAGTGGCCAGTTGAATCACGGATAGCAACACCGATGGCTGCTGAAGAATGATGCCAAGCACCATCTGTATTAATCTTAACAAATCCAACAGGAGGTTTATCCCATTGTAGTGAAAGACTGATGTAGGCTGAACCTGATTTTGTTTCTAAGAATTTTGTCTGCCTAGATGAATTAGCACTTCTAAACAATGGGCTTGAACTGATGAGATTACAGAGGGTATAGAAATATGAGCATTGTTAAAGACCACCTTGTTGCGATGCTTCCATATAAACCACATAGCAGTCAATTCATGTCTCCAACCACTCTTTAAACCCCTGTGAGGTACAAGTTCAATTCAAATTATTTAATTTATTAATACTATCCAAGTTCAATTCAAATCTGACATAAATCTGGCAGATTAGATTCAATCCAATCCGTCAGCCTCAACAAAGAATGACAATTTCAACTTTCTAACGACCTTACTGAAAAAGACCAGGTTCCATTTTGCCATGGTTTTGTTGGGTAGAGGCCCTTTCATGTTTCCAAATGCGACTACCATGCATTCATTGCCGTTCAAAAGTAGTAGTTGCTCATGTCCTACCAAGGGCAAAAATGATATTTTAATTTTAATTTTTTTAATTAAATTTATTCAAATAAACATTAGGATCAAAATTGTTGGACATAAATCCATTGTAAAGTATAAGGAATGTTTTAGTAAAATAAAAACTATATAGGTTTTTATAAATCCATAAAACTATAGGGCTGCTTTAGTAAATGATGAAATACACTAAGCCCATGTTTTAGAAGTGCTTATTCATATAAGCACTTATTTTGGATTGAGACCACTCCAATCAGCACTTCTTTGCATTTGGAAAATAAGCCGAAATAAATATTTATTCCCGAAAATAAGCACTTAATCAAGAAGCCCAATTTTTGAGCTTATTTTTAATCACTTATTCCTTTCTGGCCCATCTTGGCCACATCATTTTGAAAATGCCTATACTATCCCTATTTGAACTAAACAGTGACTTTTTCACTAATAAAACCCACGAGGCCATGACCATGAGCGCTTATCAGGATAAGCACTTATCTAAGACTCGTAGCAAAATAAATAAACACTAACAAACTAAACAATAAGTCATACAATTCGGTTCAGCCACTTCAGCTGTTGTCCAATATCAACTTGTACATGTCTGATCTAACTACATATAAGAAAAACATCACCAAAATTTGTTTTGCTTATCAATTCTCTCAACTGCACAAGGTAGATGGAGCCGGGCATCCACCCTACGTAAACATTAATCTGAATTTATTCCAACAATTCAACCAAAAAATGGTGTACGTACCACGTATACAAGTAAACCTCCTCTCCCTACATAAATAGTTGAAATTGCATATCATAGCAAAAAATAAAAGTTGAAATGGAGGACTCATTATTTACACCTTGGTGTATGTGCCAGATGGATACAGAAAAACCTGATTATGGTCATCCATCATTTACAGTTGAAATGCTCCAGACAAATATGAGAAAGAAGACAGATTAATTAACAACGTCAAGGACCAACTTCCGGGACTTCAAGACAGACCACCTCAAGCGCCGGTAATAAGCAGCTTGAAGAAGTGCAAGTGACAGAACGAATATCCATTTGAATCCCATCTGCGTTTGGAAGCACTAAAATGAGAAGGCATTTATATTTAAGATGACAACGTTTGGAAAGGTTAGACGTCCATTTACCAGTTTCCTCTCTTCCATTTCTGGTTCTGCTGCCCATGACAGAAATGTTACTACGTCTTTTCCCATCTGCATAGAAGTTTGTGAACAAAAGAATCTGATCCTCCAAACTTTGAATGGGAAACCAATTCTGTAGTTGACAAGAAGCTCTTGCTACTCCAAAAATATTGTTCACTAAATTATGAAAATTTACCTGAGATTCTGTTGCAGGGGTACCATCTTCATACTCAACAGCACCATCAATGAGCATTTTAGGCATAGCTATTGCTCCACCAGGAAAATAAGGGTTGTAGTGAAGCCCTTCTCGGATCTAAAATACAATCAGAAGTCAGCTTTAACTGCTTAAAAATACAAACCAGGGTAATACCCTCGTTGCATGGGAAACAAATTTATATCTTTAGCAAATGTGACATGCACTTGTAGCATGAAAACGGTGCATATTTTTTGAGGATAATACAAATAAACCCCATAATAAGCGAGGTTAAGCCAGAGGGGACTGGTTCAGTAAGCACCAGACGTTATCCAGGTGGCTTATCAAACAGCTGAAGCCCGAGAAACCCTGAGTCAAGCCCAAGTTTTGCTCAGTCGTTTAGCCTTTTTTAGGAGCAACTGTCAATTTTATTGATGCTGCTAAATAAAAGGAAACACAGAGAGCAATCTTACATCCCTTTGAGGTAGTTGGCCTCAGTACTTTAATCATACATATACTGCCAGAAGAAAGATTAACTTCAGCAACCAAATTCAGGTAGACCTAAACAAACAATTATTTCCTAGTTGCTAAATAAATCCTTTTTGCAATCATCCGATCAATAAAGCCAAAAGACCCAGTGCATTAATTTGAGATTAAAGAATTTTACATTAAAGAATAGTCATTCTTATGGTGTTGGTCCGTTGCAAAACAACAGGCCATTAAGGGCCTAGAATTGGCTTGTAATTGAAGTCAAAAGAACCTCATCCACATTTTAATTTATTTTTCCAAATTCCAAATTTATCAGATGTTGCCAAAGCAAGCTACAAATTGATTTTTTTTTTATGAATGAATATAATTTATTAAAACAGAAATATGAGGCAATACAGTAGACCCAAGAGGAGGCACGAGTTGTTACCTCTTCTAACAAATATTACATCAAACTAGAGCAGAATTGACCGGAATTAACCAGAACTAAAATTACAAAGCAGTCCAAAATAAATGTTCCCTTGAGGCCCCTTGCTTAGCTAACCCATCCGCTAAGGCATTTGCTGATCTTCCCACCCAATGAAAGGTAGCAGCCATGTCTTTTGTGATCCAGTTGACTTTCCTTAGCATATCTCTATGTCACCACATAGCTGAAGCTGGTTCTGTCAGCCATTCCACAACAATCTCAGAGTCCCCTTCAACTACCAAGTGCTGGACTCCTAACTGTTCTGCAATCTGAATACCTGGTACTGCCGCTAATAACTTAGCTCTATTGGAATCTCCTATTCCCACAGGGCCTGAAAACAATGCTAATATTTTGCTTTCATTATCTCTCAGCATGCCTCCTATCCCGGAAGGGCCTTGGTTTCCTTGGCTGCTTCCATCAAAATTCAGCTTTACCCATCCTTCAGGTGGAGGCATCCACACAACAGAATTCTCCAAAAATCATCAAAAGGAGAATGTATAAAATAGGTCCATAGTTCTCAACCAATGAATGGCCCTAGTTAATATACAGTCCTCAACAGCTTGAGTGCTTCTTTCCTCCTCCTTAAAACCCTTGCATTCTTTTCTTCCCATATTGTCCACAAGGCAGCTGCTCTAATACATCTCCACATTATTTTTCCTTTTTTTGTAGGCCACACAAAAAATGAAGGATCGAATAGCTGACTTAAATCTGGACAGATTCCACCTGCACCCAAACAAAGAGAAAATCCAACTCCAAATAGCACTAGAAAAGGAACAAGATACAAGTAAGTGAGAGCAGTCCTCACCACTAGCCCTGCAAAGTAAACACCAGTTAAGGGACAAACACAAAGAAGGCCTTTTCCTCTGCAAACAGTCCAGGGTATTAATCTTTCTATAAAACACCTCCCAACAGAAATAATAACTTTAGGTGGAACCAGTCTAGACCAAATCTCCTTGGTTGGAAAACCCCACTGTCCCTGGGAAGAAAGGGATTTGAAAAAAGAAGCACAGGTAAAGTAACCTTTTGGGTGAGGGAACCATAACCTCACATCAAAACTACGGGGGTCCAAGAAGGGACAACAGATCTGAAACAATGTTAAGTTCATCATCCCTCAAGCCTCTCCGAAAGCCAAAGTCCCAACTTAAGGAGGGGGGTGAAAAAGGAGATGGGAGAAAAAGAGAGATAACCTTTTCCTTGTAAAGGAAAATGGAATAAAGAGACGGAAATTGGTCCTTTAAGGCAACATTACCCACCCAAATGTCTTCCCAAAATAACACAGATGTACCAGAATTCACATCATATCTGACAAAGTTGAGAAACTGAAGGAGGATACTCTGGATTGCTTTCCATGGGGAAGCCAACGTAGCTTGACGTGATACACCCGCATCCCAACCATTTTCCAATCTACCATGTATACTAGCTATCACTTCATGCCACAACCTCTCCCTTTCTCTAGGCCATCTCCACAACCACTTTCCTAAGAGAGCTTTATTCTTGAGAGTTAACCTTCCTAGTCCCAAGCCACCTTCCTCTTTACTCCTACAAACTATTTCCCAGTTAATTAGGTGGTCTTTCTTTTCCTCCCCTGGTGAGCTACAAATTGTTTCTACACCATCAATTACACATTCAAGGGTGTAGATAAAAGGCAAAAGCAAAGAGCTTCTTCAAAATGCACCACCCTCTAAACTCAATACATATAAAATTGCTCCTGCCAAATTCTTCAAGGGCTAAACACCAACCATGAAAAGGCTACTGGCAGCCCTACAAAGATGAAATAGGAGATCTCTTACATCCAAAAATTCCATAGTCCATTTCCTTCTAAATGCTCCACACCCCCAGAATCCCATCATAATAGGACACAAAACAATGACTCGAGTAATTGAGGGAGAAACAGTCAAATTGAAAAAAAATAACAAAATAACCCCCAAATGGAGAGGTAATGGGACAAAGAAACACATTGCATAGTGACTCCTGTACAGTTTTTTTGCATGCAGCATTTGCTTGGGATTTGAAGCCCTTCTTGGTCCAAATCAATGTTTTAAAAAACGAACGGGAGGCCAAACCATTTTTGCCTCTGGGTTGCAGGTCATTGGTTTGACCGTCTGGGTCGAACGGGTCAGACTGTGCCACATTTTTTAATAAATAATGCCTCATTTTATATTTAATTTATATTTTTTAATTCTGTTTTTAATTTTTTTTATTTGCAAAAAATGCTAAAAATTGCAACTTGAGGCCAAAAAAGGTTTTTTTGGCAAAAATAGCTAGACAAGGCGCCTATGGCTTGCACATACATTGATTGTAAAGTTATGGCCTCTGGAAGTTTGCGTATACATCGAGTGTCCAACCCATGACCTAGTGACCGGGTAGACCAGGTCAACAGTTCAACCACTCATGTTGGACGGATTTTTACTAAGTCAATGAGTTATGACCAAATCTTGGGTTTTAGCTAAATTGGACCCAGAATCATGGCTGGGTGACGGTTTGAATGGTTTGACTGTTGTTTGAATTAGGTAAGCTTGACTCTAATAGGGTTAATTGTTCAGATGGTGATCGTAGGCAAAAGGATGGGGATGAGGGTGGTGTTTTTAAAATGGATGTGCGAGAGAGAGAGAGAGAGAGAGAGAGAGAGGAGTTGTGGATGGTACTGCTGATGTTGGGGTGGTTAAAGTTTTAGAAAGAAAGAAAAGTTACAGGATTTTAGATGATGGGGATAAGGATGGGGATGAACAGCTAGATAATGTGACTTTAGATGAGACTAACACAATAGAAAGTAAGCTAAACATTTAAGAGGTGGTGAATACAGAAGTGAAGGTTAGTAAAACATTGGGTCTTTTTCTTCCTCAGGGGGGAAGAGTTTGCTAGAAAGGTGTTCAAAGAATTGGAGGAAAAGGGTCAGGAGAGTGAAAAGTTGGACTCAGGTGAGCATGGTTTTAACTTAAGGGTTGAAGATGCTCTTGATAGAATGAGGTTTGTTGTTTCTGTAGGGGTTGTCGATGAAGAGGGTAAGTTTCAAATGTTGTTAAGACTTTCAGGAAGAACATGGTTTTAGAGTTAGAGAGGATTAATGAACCTTCTACATATTCAATAGAGGTTAAGGAGCTTCCTCTTGCGGTGAGAAGATTGTGCCATGTTTTAATATTCTTATAACCTAAGTGTTTCCTAGGCACCGTAATGTCGCCTAGAATTGCCTAAACGCCTTAACAACTATGCTTTGCCCAAAAGGCAAATGCCACTTGACACACTCATTTTTTGGACATGTTTTTTATTTTTTTTGACTGCTTGATACTCTACTCAATAAAACATTGATCACACTTGACAATAAATCCAATTGAACAATAAAGAAGAATAGAAGAAAAGAGAAGAAAAGAGAAGAGAAGAGGATTAGAGGCAATGGAACAGTGATGGCGGCGCCAGCTTCTATTATATTATATAGGGCGACAAAATAAGAAGGGAAAAGACCTTTGTGCCCTTGTTGTAAGTAAAGTACAATAACAAAAAAATAAAACGCTTTAACTAACCAAACAGACCCTAACAAATTAAAATAAATTATTTCAACACTCCCCCTCAAGTTGGAGCATAGATGTCAATCATGCCCAACTTGTCACACAAATCATTATGCCGCACATGATGAAGACCTTTCGTGAAGATGTCTGCACGTTGTTCTTCTGAGCTGACATAAGAGGTGCACACTTCTCCATTCACAAGTTTTTCTCTAATAAAATACTTGTCCACTTCAATGTGTTTCGTCCTATCATGGAGGACTGGATTAGTTGCAATGTTGATAGCAGCCTTATTGTTGCAATAGAGTAACATAGGGTTGCTAACTGCAAAACCCAATTCACCTAACAAATTTCTTATCCACATGATTTCAACAACCCCATGAGACATAGCTCTGTATTCTGCTTCAGCACTAGATCTAGCCACCATACTTTGCTTCTTACTTCTCCATGTGACTAGGTTTCCTCCTACAAAGGCACAATACCCACTGGTAGACTTTCGGTCATCAACTGCCCTTGCCCAATCAGCATCAATATATACTTCCACCTTTAAATGTCCATGTTTTTGGAACAGCAAACCAGCTCCGGGAAACTTTTTGAGGTATATAAGATCCTCTCTGCAGCTTCAAGGTGAGTAGTTCTAGGATTGTGCATGAACTGACTAAGGACAC